CTATAAACTCACCAGTCCTGGGTTTAAAATAATTACGCTCGAGGAGCTCGAAGACAACAATCAACGCGCTATAGTGTAGTTGAAATTCGAGCCGAAATCCTTCACCGAGTCGTCGAGAATTGGCGTAAACGGTTGGAGAAAGGGTAGAGGAATCGAAAAGAAAGTCGAAAGGACCTGCTTACAATACTTTTTTGGAAAAAAAAATTCAGCTTTATCGGGACATGTCGCGCAAAAACGCCTTTCATACCCAAAATATCGACGAAAAACGTTTGAACAGACGCGTGAGATGTCGAGGTGTTCGAAGGTCGTCCAGAACGAGGTATGTCTTCAACGGTCGTTCGACCGACTTGGAAGGCTTTGTACCACTCGTAACCTTGTGTTTTTGATAAAACTGAATCACCGTTAGCATTTTCCAACATTCGCAACGATTCCGCACATTAAATTTGGTTAGAAATACATAATTTGAGAAAAAATTTTGTTCGATAATTTTTTTCATTGTAAATATCGCAACGCACTACTGAGAAGTACCGACTAAAGTTGATAGATCGTGCTCGTATTGAAACCCGGGGAATTTAAGTTACAATTCCTGGGTACTCTTTGGTCAGTTATATTTTTTACCATGATAACAAATCAAAGGGACACTTAGCTAATACTAATACAAAATATTGAATTTAAAAGAATGCTGAGACGGGGAATAAAACAAAAAATATCTACTTATACATATATAAAACATTTTTTGTAGCTAAACTCTGAAAAATAAGTTAAATTTAGTTTCAAAAAAACTAAAATGATATTACTTAATATTTAAGTCTAGAGTATTCGACTGACGAAGAAATGCTTTGGTAATAGTTAGTCATAAATGATCAAAACGTTTTCATATTTTAATAAAACATGCACTCTAATTTGTTGGTAAGTTTTCGATCGATGTTAAATATTTACCATAAAAAAGTGATATCCAGATAATCTTTGTACTTGGTATATTAGTAGAAGAAGGCTTTTTTCACATAGGAGACAAATGTAATTGGTAACTAAAATTTCACAATTCCAACAAAAAATTCGTATGACTAAGATTTATTGCAATATGTTTGTTAGCCTTTAAGTTAAAAACCTTTTAAATCACACTTTTGACAAAAACACACGAAATATAATACATTTGCATATCATTAGCTTCCTAAGAGTAAATTTAAAAGCACTGCACTATGAACTTCAACCTTGCAATCACACACATATTCCGAATGGAAGTTGTGTACAACCGCATTACTCACTAATGCTCCCGCACTGTGAACTTGAAACCCGCGCCAGATATGTGCGACAATCCAACCAAAAAAGACGTACGACCGTTGCGAGCAGAGATTCAAACGCAACTGTGCAACGATGTTTTTGGCAAACGCAAGCACCAAAGGCATTTTTGGGCACAACACATCAGCAAGCGAACGATAAAAAATTAATATTTGACATTAGTACATACAGCCACGTCAAGCACATGTTGCCGACATGAGTATCGTAATATTGTACAGTTCTACTAATTTCGAAAAAGCTCAACAGCAAGGATATGCTTCAAGGCATTGAGGAGCATTCGGTTTGCGAGTGCAGCTTCGGTTGCGGACGGGCGTGCATGTGAGAGATTTGAAGTAAAAAGAGAAAGTATATGAGGTGAGCTAGGCAAACCGTAAGTGCTCAAGGTTACTTTGAATTTTGGTCAGCCTTGAACGGAAGCTGTACGACATTGCGACGAGGCCATTCGCTCGAGTAGTGGAGCTGTAATATGCTGTAGTATGTGTGTGCGAGTCTTGTTTGGGGAGGAAAACAACTGTTGCAAATATATTGATATTACCGCATTGCAGCCAGCCAGACCACTAGGCTATGTCAATTACCTTGGTAAAAGCAACGAACCCCTCGGTAGCATCGGCATTGCTACCACCTTTACGATTGACTGTCGATGACTTTAAATACTACTAATGTATACCGGTAGAAACGAGTACGATGAAGGAATATACCAGAACAACTAGATGTATGTACCTACGAATACGTAATCTTAACTGTTGATTGAAATGTTTTGCGATAGCTGCAACAAGTTTGTCTTACTGGACCGGAAAAAATTGAGTATGTTCAAAAATGCGCATCTCGAAGACGTAATAGTGTATTGAGAGGAAAATATATGTGCTTAACACAAAACCTTGCATGAGTTTTATTATTATAATGGGCATGTGGAAATCGTTCATTATTTGGTCACAAAGTCTTAGTTGTAGTTATACGTGTATATGTATATATTATTTAAAAAGATTAATTTTTATATTTTATATTTGATTGAATCCGGAGCAGCGTATATCTCTTATAAACTGACTTTAGTAGTACTTTAATAACAAACCCGCCCTTCAACCTCATGGCCGGCTCATCAATGCCTTTTAGCGTTTTTTAATACTTTTGCAACATATTGCTACAGAGGGCACCTAACGGTCAAATGGGGTCCAATAAGAAAAAAATAGAAAACTGTAAGTAGGAGGATCTTCCCGTTGCAATTAAGAACTCATTCTTGGAGAGGCTTCCTTAGAGGTGTCTAGGAGCCTACTTTTCAGAGTACCAAACGAAAAAAAAAAACAATTTTTTTTTTTTTGAATCACCATAATGTACATATGTAAATGATCAGGATGAAGAGATGAGGCACTGCATGTCAGCGCCTACTTTTAGGTGAAATTACATATCTCGACCCGCCCGAACGATGCCAACCAAATTTAGTAGTCTCACATTCCTATGTAATAGAGTGAAATTGGATTGCAACCACGCCTACTTCTCATGTACAATTTTAAATTTCATCTGATTCTTTCACTTTCAGTATAAAAATCAATAAACATTTAATATAACCGGATAAAAAATGTCACCTGATGACCAAACATTGCCCAATTCCAGTACAAACTGTTCAAGTCCCTAGGTATCGAATCATTGGACCCCATTTGACTTTTTATCGCAAATACCGGTCGTTGTGTGAGATAAATAATTGAAATTCAGAGATAATTATTCCCTGACAATGTTATGTCTGTGGGTAAAACATGAGTTGAACCGGTTCCATACTTCTCTTAGCTCCCATATACCTAATACAACGATTTCCGAGCTTTCAGGTGACTTTATATAGAATATATCGGTCATCATGGCTAGATATCTCAATGAAAATGTGGCAAGAGTATAAAATGTTCGGTTGCCCCGCAATTTAACCCTTCCTTACTTGTTCCTTTTCTAGCTGCCGTTATAAGTCGCCCCTTAAGTTTCCTATAGACTCCTTTGCACACTGGTCGATTTCATAGGCCAAAAATAAAAAAATTTTAAATTTACCACTGCTTGTATCAAAGCTATTTCTTAAAACACCAATAAAACTAACGGTAAATACATTTTGCTTAAACAATCGAAACACGCGGACTGTGCAGTGAAAATAGCTTAAAAATTATCTCTTATAATAAATTACATTGCAATATAAAATCGTGTTTAATCCCCATAAATCGAAATGAGTATTGATAACAAAGATATTTGTTATATAACAAGGTGGTTTTTACATAATAATATGTTGTTTTGTTATTTTAAAGCAAATTTTCTGTAAGTGCCCTTTTGAGTGGTATGTTTTTCTTTATGTCGATTTAAGGTATACAAAAAGTGCGATCCCTGTCTCGCCCTCAAATGAATCAAGTTTGGTTTTATTAGTTAATTTTTTCTAAGTCTATGCTTTTGATTTCGGCTGCAAATTTTTGCAACTTTCTTTGTTATTCATGTAATTCTACCAAATATTTGTTTTATACGTACTTTTATTTAGGCACATCATATCGGTGTAAACTTTCGCGCTTATATAATATGATAAAAATATTTGAATTTTGGTGTTTAGAAAATATGTAAAGAAATATCACTTGTCAGCGAAGCAAATTTAATAAGATTTCAGTATCTATTTATTAGAAGCTTCGTTAACAAAAAACTTGATTTTGATATGTGGCTTTGATGGCAACACTGGTTAAAGCGAATAWAAGCAGAAATTTGAAAATAATTATTTGGAAGACAATATTTTATTTGTCACGACACATGTCCCTGTATAACTGATAATAAAATCGCAAAATGATGAAGAGCACAATCAAATTTGGAAAAACCGCAGACCTTCGTAAACCCGCTATTAGCGTCCTGTAGAGCTTAAGTCAAAGAAGCCGTTATACAAAAGTAAATCAATTTAGTCGAATAATATTAAAAAAAAAATACGTTTTTCGTTTATCAACTTTTTTAATTTAATATACTAATTTGTTACCATCGAGGGGAAACGGTAGAGGGAGATTTTGAAAAGCTTTGGGAAAAGTTTCACTTTTATATAGGCCTTGGAAGTATTTTTGGCCGCTGGTTCCATACAAGACCGATCACTGTGCATTGTCGAAAACTGCAGCTATTTAAATTAGCGATGTTCCTTTTGATTTTTTTAATTTTTAAGGCCTTGGACATCATTTAAGTGAAAAACGCAGAGAAAAAAACAGATTACCTCGATCCACACCTAAAAATATTATTAAATTAACTCAGAAAATTAAGAAAAGCGTGCATAACACTCAATATTTCGAATTTAAGAGATTGGTAAAAATATATAACGGTAAACATTTGCCAAATTTCGTTATGTAATATTGCGTGTATATACAGTGTGTTATCAAATGGAAAGCTTTATAAATAATTTTTGATTTTCACTCTGTCTGCTTACTTAAACATTGTTCAAGTTTGAAAAGCATCAATTAATCAAATTCTCTGAAATTAAAAATGTGCATAAAAATATATTTTTGCTCTACAATCTAGCAATATTGCATTAAAGTAAATTACGGTAAATTGGAAAACATAAAGTTTTTATGTTTAAGATTTTACTTATTGCACATTTTGTAAATGATTCTTTAAATAAGTTCGGGATAAGAACTTTTCATGCATCGAGCTAACGACACGTAAATACCGCGAAATTATCGAGTTCCCAGACACAAATAAAACAACAGTTAAGACACTTTTCGTTAGTAATAGTTTCTGATTTTTATTTCTCATTATTAATATTACGCTTTAGATCATTTGAAGCTCCTACCAATTTGCTTCTTCAAAATACTTGTACACATTCGACATTAAGTACAAACCAGGCTTAATTGAGTATTTTATATATAGACATGGTCAGATATGTACATATTTATACACACGATTTGTTATGCAAGCACACACATAAACTTTTGATCGTAAACCTTGGCTTTATGTTATTTTATAGTGGTTCAAGCATATCCAAGTATTATATTAATATTATACGTTGGTTATTTATTTATCAAACGCAGTTTATAAAGGCAATTTTAGTAAAGCAGTTAAGCATGTTAATTATCGTTACTTTATTCTTTCGACTTTTTACTTTTCACGTTTGTGCATAAAATTGTGCGCTAGATCGTTTTGATTCATACATATATTTAGTATATGTAAATAATAAAACTCTTAACTTCTCTATCACTGCTCAGGCACAGCTGCTTTGAAGCTTTGATATATACAGTTTTGGAAATTATAGAGGAGTGTAAATAACTTGTGCTTATTTGCGAAAATTACATATCCAATAGATTGCAGTAAAGTCCCACCACCTCCATACATATGAACTTATCACTTAAGGCGCTAATGCGCATCTTGAGCATTAAGATGCAGAAAAGCCATTAAAATTAATTTGAGTATGCAATTAATTGAGAGTATTCAAACTTTTCCAGTTTTTTCACACCGATTTTTTACTTAGTCTAATGAAGGCAATAGAATAAAGGGTTTTCTAACAGAACATGAGGAGAAATACGCACTCACTCAAATCAAAATTAAAATAGAAAATGCGTACAGTTATAGATGTTTGTTGTTTCGAAATAATAGTGCGTGAAATAAATGAAAAAGTTTGAAAGAGCAAGAAAAATCAATACGAATAAATCTAAAAACGAAACTTGTATGTGTAAGTGCAATATTTATAATTCATTATAAACACTTCCAAATATTCTGGTAAACACTTTTCACTATTCATGTGCTTGCTATTTCTCACTTAAATAGCAAAATAATATATAATAGTCATGTTTTGCCATGTTTATCAAATTTTGGTGAATGCGAACACATTTTCCAGATTAGTTGTTATTTTTATATCAACGACACTTTTAGATTGATGAGCTCGTACTATTTAATTATTCATATCACCACTGATATTTGCTGGTGGCACTATCTCCACACAAAAGCCAAAGCTTTTATTATATCTAAACAAAAACAATTACTGCTCTACGCTGCTGGGCATCAAGGAAAGTTATGTACATCGTATGAGCATTGCTTATGCTTGCTTTTAGCAGAAAAGCACGTGCTAATCGCATGCCGTAGATTACACTTATGCGTTGTTGTTCCATAACCGCACAATGAGCTGAATTCGGAATGATTTCTAACAAAAATTGAAAAATTTGGGTTTACAAATACAATTTGTTTATGTTTGTGTGATCAAAACATCGTTTTTTATAGCTGAATCGATGATCTTATTCCAAGATAGGCCATGATGCGCCGAAAATCATTCCAAAAGCTGGTATGTAGAATCAGTTCCTTAGCAATTTTTGGTAAATTTATACTAGTTTTAATTATGATTTTGAACTCAACATTTTAAGTTTCATATAATCTTAAATTCGTATTCGCTTCAGAACTATTGCTGTAAATTTTGTTATAGTTTCATTGCCTAACATCTGTAATCTTTCAATAATTTTGTTCAACTAAATTTCGGATTCTACCCGTCACACAAGAGTTAGGAAATGCAGCAAAAACGCCATACTATTCCACCATAACATTTCAAATATTTCTATGTGTATAATTTGTGTTTGTACTGATGTTTTAACTGGTTAAACATGCGAGAAATAGAAACGGCCAGCAATGAGGCTAGAAATACCGCTGACTAGTGGGTGCGACCGATATGAAATCCGGTGTAAGTTCAACTTAGATACAAAAGAAAATGCAACGATCTACGTATGTCTAAACATTTAAGTATACACAAACATCTAATGGATATATTAAACATTTCTATTTACACAAAAAGCATTTCATCTATTCGTAATACATTTATGGAGATAATTACAAACGTTAGACATACATACACTGGATCGCCTGCTGATTTACTTTCCTTCTTATATTTGTGTTGAAAACACTTTTCGCAAAATAAAAAAATTATTATTTGCTTTTACAGTATTTTGGTCTTTTTGTGGTTTTGCACTGTGGATTTACTCTTGGTACCGAGGGTCTGTATACTTGACTGAAAGACGTGAGTATGTGAATGACACACTGTTTGCGGTTAGCAAACTTCAATTTGGTTGCGAGTGCCAAGTTCTGCATGAGGCTAATTTGCAAACTCGATAGAATTTTGATGCGCTTTAATGTAATGTGCTGACATTTGAACAGTTTCGAGCATACATATGTACATACACATATGTATATTCAAATTAATGTGGCTGCTGTATGCTAAGTAGATATTTTGGGTGTCGCAAACGTTATTGTGGGCAGTGTGTGAACACTTTGCTTTCGAAAGTTTTTAAATATATTCAAAGGAGATGTATTCTTTCGAAGTTGAGTTTCATAAAATTGCACTTGCACATTCAGTTTCTATTATTGAAAACAAAAAATTGTATCTATGTGAAAACCTCACTTGAGGCATTTTGCTTAAATCTAATAAATCATGTATAAATTCATCTTTCAATATCAAATTGTTGGTCCAATTAATTTTATACAATGTTTTAAAACAATTATGGGTACAAGTACACATATAGTACATATTCTATGTGACCATACGAGCCGTTAATAGTTTTGTTTTTTTAATTTAAGCATGCAGTAGCTGCAAGAGGATTGTTGAAATTGGCACTTGTGTTATGTATTCCTAGTACGCCATATGCATATGTTTATTAAGCCCTGTAGAGCTCAATACTTGTTAATTTAGGTATATCGCATATAGGTTGACAACCGTTAGATATATATACTTATATTCATACATACAAACTTATAGGTATTTATTATACACATGGTATAGAGTGGCAATGACTTTTACTGAAAGCAGTGACTTTTGTATTATATTTTTCCACCCTTTTGTTACATTTCGCCTACGAACTCACAAATTCTGAACTGAATTCCCTCGGCCGTTGACGCATATGCGTGGTTATATATGTGTACGCAGATATATATATAGCATCACGTTTACCAGTCACGTGATCGTGCTGCTTCGTTTTCTGTGTGGAATGTTGTGCTGCGGCGTGACTCTACATATTGGCTCTGGGTTTGCGCCACAATTTGGCCAGAACGTGGTGGTGGCGGTGGAGCCGGAATATGCTGCTGGAAGATTGCCTGAAAACGAAAAAACATCAGATTTAAAAATAGCAATACAAAAGTGGGTTTGCGTAATTATTTATAAACATAATACTAGCATATGTATATGTAAGCAAATTATAGCAAAACTTTTAATATAAATTTCGCGCAAAAACCCATTCACAGAAATTTATATTCTAGTTGGTATGACTGTCAGTAACATCTGTGTCAAATGTCATATCAAAATAATCATGAGTTTTTAATATACACTTGGCTATCTGAAGTGCATAAAGTGCATTCGCCGATTTTTACGATGAGTGAAATTATTCAAAGAAGAATAGCCGTTAAATTTTGTGCGTGGAATCAAATTTCTGGAAAGATCATCATTGTTTGTCGCGAGCGAGGTTTTGATAAGTACAAATTATTCAATGAGGGTTGACGACGAACCGCGTTCACGATGGACATCAAGATCAACTAACGATCAAAACTTCAATAAAATAAAATAATTGGTGCTTGAAAAATTACGATTAACATTCAGAGATATGGTAGACATCAATCGATTTTCGAAAGGCTTAGGCATCATTTGGCCCTAAGAAAGGTGAAAGCACGATTGGTCTTCAAATCAGTAAATTTTTTTTGAAATAATTGTCTGTGCAACAATGCTTTCCGACTATCAGGATATTTCTAAAATGCATTTTTATAGGCGATGAGTCTCAGATCTATGCTTACGACCCAGAAACAGACGACTATTCGGCCGAAAATCGTGGCAAAGATGAGCCGGAGCCGAAAAAAGGAAGAACGGATATTACATTGGTAGTTTTCTTTGATTATCGAAATGAGGTGTACTCCGAATTCCTCCCGAACGGCAAAAAAAATACTATTTTAGTGCGCGAAGCTATTCGTAAAATTAAGGCCGGAATCATGGGCCGACAACTTTTGGCTTTTTTCCACGATAATGAACCGTTGCACACCTCATAGGTATTTCCCAAATTTTCAAGCTACATTGTGCCGCAACCATCGTATTTGCCTGATTTAGCTTCGTGTGACTTCTGGCTATTCAGCAAACTCAAACGACCACTCCGGCAAAACCGCTTTGAGTCAATTTAAGTGTTGAGATTACTTTGAGGGGGAGGAAATAGATTTTGAAGAACACATTAAGAATTTTAAAAATATAATCAAAGTCGATTTGATAATAAATACACAGATCAAGCGAAAACTTTTCCACCAAATCAGAAATCCGAAGTCTAACGGATTTTTCGAAAATCATAAAAGAGTCAAGATATACTTGCATATTGTATGCAAATACAATAGAATATACTTGCATATTGTATGCAAATATGAAATATTTTTGAAATTAAAAAAATTTATTTTTGACTTGGCAAGGGTTTAACTGACCTTTAAGAGTGTAATACATTTAAAAATCCTTCGAAAATTTATTGAACTTGGATAGGAGAAAAAATCGAAAGTACCATTAACTAGCTGAATTGAACTACGGAAATTGATTGCTCCGCTCGTACGTTAAAATATTCAACTAACCACTGAAACCACTAATGCAGTCAGGTAATAGCTTATAGTGGAACTGGTGTCTATTATTTTTATTTTAATGTACATAAAGAGCCACTTACCATACGTTGAGAACGGCGTGATCTTGGTGTGGCTTCTGGTGATGAAAGATCATCTGGTGCCGCCCAGTGCTCGGTAAATTCACTTGCCGAACGCGCTAACGATGGATGACTAACCGATCGGTGAAAAGAACGTCTATCTTCATCATCGTAGTACTGCATCGGATAAAAAGAGCTTGCATCTGAAACATTGTCTAAGTGATCAGGTCTGCCGAAGTCGACAGTAACTTCAGACATAGAACGGAAATCATTTTGATCCGTGTGATACGAAGTACGCGATGAGCGACGTGAACGGTGCATATTAAAACTATTGTCACGCAATGGCATACTTGGATCTTGGCGTATGGTTCGCACAGACGAACCGCCGTCACTATCGTACTCGTACAATGTTGGCAAGGAACTGCGTCGGGAGCGCGTGTCCCATGGTTGGGTTTTCTTTGAGCGTTTTGGTGCGCGCATTTCCACATCCGTATCATCATCAACGGGTGGTGCCAGTATACGTATGATAACGTCCCAAGTCTGGGGCTCAAATATACGTTCATAACGAGTATCTTGGCGAATTCGTTCGAAATCTTCACGGACTACAGCTTCCGTCAGCATTGTGCGCAATGATGATTCTGTAGTTATGATCTCTTTCCATTTGGCCTTGTCGTCATAGCTGATGAACCGTGTGAGAGGATGAACACTGGAATGCACGGAACTGGTATCATCGGCTTCGGAGAACTCAGGTTCTTCCAAGACGCGTATTAACACACCCCAGTTGCGCACAGCCTTGTCTTCTGGTGGCATTTCAATGGGTTTCATATTGCCCACCAACTGTGGACTGGTGAGCTCCTTTTTATTGTCATAGATTTGTTGTGGCGGTTCTTTAGGTATTATTGGCAAGCTTAGTTCGGAGCGCTCCATCTTGGGCGTGAGAGTCATGCCAGAAGCACTTGAGATATCCGAGAAGTTCTCCCATCGTTGCTGTTCGCGTTCAGTTGGATAATTACGTATCTTAACATCCCAAGTTGGATCGGGAATCGGCGGTGGCAATGGCTTAGGCTTCGCCTTATATTCGGTAACACGTCGTTTATGACTCTCAATGTCTTCAATTGTCTTCTTTTCAGTAATGGTACGTAAGTATACGTCATCTACAGTGTGTGATGTGACTTGAGGTTTTTTTACAACAATTGGCGGCTCCGGGGGAAGGTAATCTGCCTCAAAGAAATGCGTACTATCGACCATTTCGCCAACCGAGTGCATGTCAGGTGCTTCAGATTGCAAATCGGTGACCTCACTAACTGTTGGTGCATCAGTAAAATCTGACCAGGTTTCAGGACGTCCATCGACCATTTCATGATGGGTGCGTGCATATACGGAGAATACAGGCTCTGGTGGAGGTGGTGGTGATGATTCCGCAGTATGTTTAGGTGCCGAATGTAATTCAGGAACATATGTGAACTGAGTATGTACAGTCTCCTCTGGTGGGGGCATTGAATCCATAGTCATAATACTTTCACGGTCTTCATGTGTCTCCATAATAGTCGATAGATTATTACGATCTGGGCGAAGTGTTGCGACACTTTCTGTGTCTGAGGTAACGGGCGAAGGTGGTGGTGGTGGCGACTTCTTGACGCGGACTTGAACGTCAAATTTAGGTGATGAAGTTTCCTTAATGGCAATAGGATGACGAGGAACTGAAGTGGCTAACGCATTAGCGGCCTGCACTTCTTGAGTATGTCCATAGTGATCGCTATAAATGCTGGAAGTCTCTTGGACAAATGCACGATTTTCAAAGCTACCTGCTGAGCTAAATGGCAGTGATCTGGAAGTAATATGTTTTAAAGAAACTCATTTAAATAAGTTGGTTAAAAATTACCTCGTATCGATTTCTTCGATTTCGGAATGTGACTCGCTTGGATAGTCCGAAGGTATGAGCGCACCTTCGCTACCCGACGAACTATGTACAGCCGCCAGTGGCACCATAGCTCGTGGTATTTTAACTCCTTCGAAGGCGCTGATATTACCCATGCTACTACCACTCAATTTAGTGATTTCTGAGCCACTGCCCATGGACATGGGAAGGCGACGCACTACCGGTATTGGGCGACTGCGCAAACAGTAATATGATACAGCCAAACCAAGCAGCAGTAATGTAAGGAACATAATGGCGCAAATAATTAGGAGGAGCTGTATACCCTTAAGAGGCGGCTGTAGAACGGAACCAGTGGCGATGGGATTCAAGCTGTGTAATTATACCAAAAACAAAGGATTTAATTTTATTTTAACTTTATTATTAATACTATTTTTTAGGTAAAAATAAGCTTGCGGGTAACTTCAGCTAGAACACCGAATATTTCACGATTTAGGATAAGTAACTTACATTGGCGCTGGTAGAGCTGGTGGCAGTGAAGGTATGGGCGGCGGATAACGGCATACGATTGTAATTATTTCATCGCCGTCCATTTCCAAATTAGCATGAAAACGAACAATTATATTGTTGGTAAAGACGCGAGTAGGATTCTAAAATATATATTTCGAAAAGTTAGCTATAACTTTGCTTCATACTAACAAAGATATTACCTGTATAGTACCACATCCTTTAAGGGGTAGCTCCAGTCTATAACTCAGAGCACCTTTGCCATTCACGCGACAAGCGCTGCTACGATCATAATCTGCTTGAATTATGCCGTGGAACGGTTCATTGAACTTCATGTCGACCTGTGATAAAGAATTCGCAATATATTCAAGCATTAAAAAATGAGTGTTTATACTCACTTGCATTGAACCGGCGGCACAATTAAGTGCTGCTTTCGTGCGGTTCAAAAATATCAATGGACTGATATCATCCAGCTTGGTAACCTGAAAAAAAAATGTTTAGTTATTTCTAAGGTTTTGAAGCTTATAAGTCAGTATTTTTCACTTAATAGCATTTCAATTTAATAGCGAATATTACAAAAAGAAAAAAGTCCCATACTTTTCACATACATATGTTGAAATTTGCGAAAAATACTTTGATTCTAGACTTTTCATAGAGTGAGCCTTCTTAATAGGAAACATCACATCAATCTTTATCATCTGATCGTTATATAACGCTTCAAGGTGCTCATTGATTTACCCTGCTGAGACCCAAAGTTCGGTTTTTGAATTGGAACATTTACTTTATCTCAATTAGCCGGCTAACACATACGGGCAATAGCAGTGTGACACTTTCGAAAAGTATATTTCTTTTTGGTTTTTCGTTAGTTAATATTTTCAAAAATATACTATGAAATCAGCAATCGTATTTTGAATGGTTTCTAAATGGCAGCTCGGAGAAATTTCGCAGGAAGTGGAAACTTTAAACGCGTTTTTCTGGAAACCACATTTTTAAAAATGTTTGACATCATAACTCAACCAGAAATTGACCAATCGACTTCAAACTAAAACTAAGTATTTTAGAATATATTTATTATACAATGACCTACGAACTTTTAGATTGGTAGAAAATTGTCAATTTTTCATAAAAAAATTCACGAAGATCACCTAATTTTCCATGGGTTACACTGATTAGCGCCTTTAGTAACGGCAGGAACTCCTCATAGTCTAGTCAGTCTATACCTTTTTTAGCTTTCTATTGATAACAACTCAGGCACCATGGGATAAGAAAAATAGGTACGGTAACAAAGAGGTGTGCAAAAATAACCAACTCTCATCAGAATATTTATACCGGAAATATTTAAAATAACATAATTCTCTGATTTATGATACAAATATATCCTGGAAACAACCAATCAATCAAGTTTTTGACCAAATTTTTATTCACCGTTTTTTATTGTAGTGACAATAATAAAAAAGTTTGAGGTGTGACCGACTGGATATTGTTCATGAAAAATATATTGTCATTAAAAATTTGTAAACAGTTCAGAATCACTTATAATAAATAGGCTGCTCAAATCGGAATCGTCGATATCGAACCACTACAGCATATACCTGTCTTACAAACTGATCGATCCAAATCCTTGTATTGAAAACTTTTTTACTTTATAAGGTATCTTTACGAAATTTGCCAAAGATTTTTATAGAAGCAATCGCTACAATTTCCTAAGAAATTTTTCAGAACTGACCATTGAAAATCAAGATATAGATATTTCTATACCATTTTATGTTCTAAAAAATTAAAATGTAAAGGGTGGTATTTCTTTGCTGCAGCCGAAATTTTGTATTTTTTGTTCACGAATGTATGTATGTACTATTARGCACTGCATATATACATATATCTATAGTGACTTCTATTAAATCAAATCTATGCTCACAAAATATTCAAAGTGATATCCATATTATGAGAGAACCTACCTTCCCATCCAAAGTAGCTTCCTCAGGCAGCCCGTTCGTTGTGTAGTTTCCGCTATCTCCTTGCTGTACATAATTCGATTGCGCTTGAACACCATTAAGAAGAACTGTTGTGCTTAATGCTAACAGCAGACACCATAGCAGAGGCGCCCAGCCCATTTTCGACTAATTTACCTGTAGAAAAAGCGCTTTATATTTTCTCTTAGTGTGATTTTTAATTTTTAACGCCTGCAAATAAAGAACGGAAAGTAACTATAATGGTTTTGTGGTGTAAATATGTTTGTATGTAAAATATATTAAAAAGATTATAGTAACTATTCACAAGTTCTCCTCAGTCAAATGAAATGATAATAATCATGCAGTATTTAATATTGTCATATGTATGTATTCGTTTAGCTTGCAAATCTTAATGCCTTACCGTTTTTATTACCATGTAGTTACTGTAGTGTCATTACTTTTTAGGTAATAAAATTAAGCCGCACTTTCAAGTAAGCACACTGCATTTCATAAAAGTTTAGCTTGCTTTAGCGCTTAGCTTGCTTGAATCATGGGTAGGCTATTGAACTTTAGAAATAATAGTTCTGATAAAACCGATATTAAGGCGCAAATGCGATCGAAATTGAACAGATCGTATACGTCGCAATTACAATATTATAATAATATTGGACTTGTGAAATAATTAGCGGCAAATATGTGAATATAATTAAAAATAAAAGTTTTGTCTAATGGCATAAGTCTTCGACATCAAAGGCAAATTTTAAAGGTTGTTCGGTAAGAAAGAATAAAAAATTTGATAAAAACGTGTACATTTTAGTGATTTTGAGGTAAAACGAGGTTATTATTCGGACTATTTATTTTTTATTCTCTAGATACAATAGATACAATACTTAATTCATATATAATATGCAGCTGCTGACTTTTGGTAAGTCGGCTGTAAACTAATGCTTTATGCAGTATTCTTACATGTAGGTATTTTTAATTTGTGCAGTTTGATACATTTATGGATATGTGAATTTGACTGAGTATTATGGTAAGGCACTTTTGAATTACTGGTTTTACTTATTTTGCCAATGTCGCCGGTCGCGACCATTCCGCCAACTTCCCACTTCCAACTTGGCTAGATCTGTGCACAGCTGCAGTTAATGAAATGCGCATGCCACAATTACTTTTGATAGCAACTTTATTTTCCACAGCTGCACTCCAACGCTTGTGGTCAAAAGCTTTGACATTTTTCTTACTACGTACTTTTGAAAGTATGTATTTCTTGGTATGTGGGTTTCATTTTCTTGCTTGGCGCGTTCGACCACACTCGTATTCAGGTGCCCAATCATTAGCTTAACAATACTTCAGCTATAAGCTGTGTTCATTTGTCGATGAATGTTACTTATGCATTTACATAGAGATTATATAGTACAAAAAATTGCGTTCTCTGTTCATTATAATATTTATAGCTCAACATTTTTTTTTTTTTTTTTTTTGTTTTCCAACAATATAACAAAACTAGGTTGAGAGATTGTTGACGTAGATATTAATCTCAACTTTGCTAAGAATATAAATTCCGTATAATTATTAAATTTGCCACGACGTTGGCAACACCTTGTAGGAAACGTCGAAGAGCCGAAAAAATATGTATCGAAATGATCAGCAAATTGAGCTGAATTGACTAAGCCTCTCTGTATATACGCGTACTAGTGAGTTTTTGATATATCAATATGATAGCGTTTTCTCCCCAAGAAGCTACTCTATTGTCAGAACTGGCGATATCGGCAATTATGGCATATAGCTGTCAAACAAACTGAACGATTATAATCAAGTACTTGTATGGAAAACTTTTTCATTTGACGAGATATCTTTATTTGGCATGGGGTACTGTCCAAGAGAGTTATGCAATCTCCGAAGAAACTGACGAAGTGATAAGATAACTTTGTACTATATGTAAAGTTATGGTATATAAAAGTTCTTGTAAGATACCCTTTGTATTTTTGGAGGGTATTATAGCTTCAGTATAATCAAAATTAATATTATTCTTTAAAACATGTAGCACATAAATATTATGTTATGTTTGTTTGCAATAATTTTCATTTAAATGCTCTTAATATATACTGTATTGTAATTTCTACATACATACATACATAACTGTATATACGGTTATTTTGTCATTACTTCAGAAGCATAAATTTATTCAAACAATAATCTTTTTTCATATGCTGGAAATTGAAAAAAGTAATTATCCCGACCCTCCTCAATGAAAAATAGGAGTACTACCATAGAAGATAAATTTGAGTAGAAGAGTTTAAGAAAAATTATTTCGGGTATCCAGTTATTTTTAGGTCGAAATGTAAGAAATATTCGTACGTAAATTTTAATAAATGTATAACATTATTAAAAATAAATAAAAGAAAAATTCAGTTTATTGGCATAAATATAAAACGAGTACGTTACTAAAACACCCAATAGCAAATTTTTTGCAAACACTTTTTGCAACATGTTAATTATTTTGGATCACCGCATTACATTTAACGTTAGAACGTTAGAAACGTTTCTCCCGTTATTCTAGATGTAAATGATTTCGGAAGCTATACTAATTTTGCAATATTAAAATATTTAATTTTATCAATATACAGTCATTACCGGTTAAGTACCACACCGCATATGTGCCATTTTATATGTCTGTGTATTACTGCATCTCACGCCTTTTTTAAAAATACATATAAATTATTCTCTTAAGTACCACTAGCTTATGTACTCCGCAATTTTGTACTTCAATCAAAACATTGTTACAAATTTCCCTTCCTATGTACCACTTCAAAGACAAAATTACCACAAAAAATATGCATTTTCGGAGTATTTCTCCATCCCTTTTGAAACTTCTGATGCCGACCACGTTGCAATGTCGAAAGTGAGCGATTAGGTAAATGATTCATTACTTTTTGTTTTTCCCATGTTCATTCAATTTTGGATGATGACGCACTTTCAAGGACCAACGATTACCGATGCAATGATGGATTGCAAGACAAATACCTTGAAGGGCGTTCAAAATCAATAGTTATTCCGGAAACCATTGCTGTTGTGCACAAAGTGATACTGCAAGATCGTCATTTAGGCAACTATATTCATTAGTGGGACTATCGAACATGTCATTATAGAATTTTTTTTCATTAGATCTCACACAATAAGTGAATTGCTCTAAAAAAGACTAGTGTCATATTCGCTGCAAAACACGTCTGTGATAACGCGATAGGTGATGAATGATGAATTTATACGCAGAACCCAAAAAACAGCACCCGCGCAAGAAGAATTTCCAAGCAATACCGCTGGAGTAATAAGGAGCAGTATGTTCTGAGAGGTAGATACAAAACTATTTCCTTGCCAGTTGTCTTTCAAAAAACAACCTTCGAAGCAGATCTCTTTTTTTTTTGTTTTTAATTTCTGAGCACATAAAAACGGGTTTGATGAGTAAAGCACTGTAAAGTCATGACTTGGCATGGATGACTTCTTTTAATTCCCGTACGAATAATTTAAACCGTAGGTCCACGTTTTGCGACGCCTGAAGAGGCGATCGATGATACCTCAATGAGATTTGAAAAAGTTCTTCCACAATTGATAGATATAATTGAGAACATTTTAAGAAATAATTAAATGCTTTTCGATAAATAACACTTGGTTTTGTTTTTTAATCCCGCCGTATGTTCGAATGATTCCAGAAGAAAGGAATCCACCTCTTTATTAAGGCGATGTTTTGATGACATATCAAAAAATAAAACCACCTGGGTAACTAGATTATATTGCCACGTTAATGCTCTCTACAGATAAACTAGCTAAAATAAACAATTTGTAAATAAAACGCATTTACGGTGTTCACCAGTCAGAAATTCAAACACTAAACTCCGTAACACTTCAGAAATAATATTCATATTTCTGTATTTTTTATTTTCTCTCATGCTGAGAGAAAGATCGTTACTCCATGGTCCAATCTGAGAACAGTTTATACAATATACGTACTTTGTGCACTCGCTTATCCGAAGGATATTTTTTACAGATCGTGACAAACTACGAAAGGTAGCAATATTTCTACTTATCCGCCTTGTGATACACAAATTTTGTATGACACAGCAAGAAGTGGGCTCGCATTAACTTGTGTTTATTTGCCTGGATACTAGCGTTGTTTTACGACATAAATTTTTAAGAAAATGTGTATGCCTGTGCTCATAAAAGCACACGTACCAACCGTGTCTAGAAAAAAAAAGCTTATCAGCATAACTGCTATTGTAACATGAACTATACTATCTATCTGCACAGACATATGTTGAACGTGTATGAGTGTGTTCGCCCGAGCAACCGGTCAACATGACATGACAACCGTGCTGTAGTTACTTATTTGTAAAATCTGCATCTGCAGCTGCTGTCGACGGTCCGGTACTTTCAGCCTGCAAGCATGATAAAATGCCCTTCTTACAGTAGAGCACTACTTGTCCATATGTACGAATGTCTGTAGTTAACGCATAGGTATTTTAAGTTAGGGCACAGCATGAGTTCACTCCGTTCGTAAATTATGGTATATGCATGCTGTCGGTGTTTGGTCTATCGCAAGAGCCTGGTGGTTCTGGGCACAAATTACCGACTTCGTTGGACATTTACGCTTCGATATAATTCACTTTGACCGCATTCTACTTTGCGCATAAACGTGTGTATATGAAAGTTGATTGTAGTAACTTTGTCTATCTTTCTAGGCTAAGTACTATACTCACAAATACACTTTTAAATATACATACTGCAGTATATACACTTATATTAGCGGCACTTTAGATAGGAATGGCATATTTTACATGTAGATGTCCACAATTATTGGTGTTTTAGGTTGTGAAATGACCAGCGAACAACCATTCTAAATACTAAGTCGACAGTCAACTCGTGTTCGGAGTAGTGTTTTGAAGTTTGTAACATACAGACGGTGAATAAAAAGGTAAAGCTCTCGGCTATAGCCGCATAAACGCGTAAGCGGTGTCCAATAAAGAAGAAGAAAAAATTACTACATATAAAATCATGTATTTTGAAATAAATCATTAGCTCTGCTTTTAGGAGAGAGGTAACAGAATAATCTACGATGCATTTGAAGTAGGTCAATTTTATGATCAGCTTGAACTGGGCTAAATGGTGGCAATTAACTAAGAACTTTTAGATTTTTACTTATCCTAAAGAAGCAGTTAAGAACACAATTGATTGGCTGG